GAACGAGTCGGGAAACTGATTTTGCAAGCGGGGAAGCGAGAGAGAGAAAAGATTTCGGTAAAAAGGTAAACAAACCTGGACTTGGGGTTGGGTTGGGGGGGGGGAGGGTCGATGGAGGGAAGGGTGGGGTGATTGGCAGATATTTATGGGGATATGCTTTAATATATTGTATATATATCTATATCTATCTATCTATCTATCTATCTATTATATATATCTATAATATATATATATACTGTATATATACATTATATATATATTTATATATATATACATATATATCTATATATCTATCTATCTATCTATCTATCTATCTATCTATCTATATATATATATATATATATATAATATATATACATATATTCATATATATATACATATATATAATATATATATATATAATATATATATATATATATATATATATATATATTATATATACACATATATATGCATATGTATATGTATATCTACTTATCTATATATGTACATACATACACACACACACACACACACACACACACACACACACACACACACACACACACACACACACACACACACACACACACACACACACACACACACACACACACACACACACACACACACACACACACACACACACACACACACACACACTATATATATATATATATATATATATATATATATATATATATATATATATATATATATATATATATATATATATATATATGTATATATATATATATATATATATATATATATATATATATATATATATATATATATATATATATATATATATATACATATACATAATTATATATATATTATATATATATATATATATATATATATATATATATATATATATACATACATGTATATATATGTATATACATTTCTGTGTGTGCATGTGTGATTCCCTCCGTTTCTGGCCGTCTTGTCAGCCTCATACATTCCCTCAGGAAATATCAGCGCGAGGAAGCTTTTTCTCTCGCTTCTGACGTGGAGACACATCGCCCGTTGCAACATGGGCTGGAAAAGTGTGCCATAAGCAGACGCAACACACGCCCACTGACCTTCGGGAGCTTATTAGGAATAAGATTTTTTTTGTGTGTGGTCACGGCCTATATATATATATATGTATATATATATATATATATATATATATATATATATATATATATATATATATATTATATATATATATATATATATATATATATATATATATATATATATATATATATATATATATATATATAATATATATATATATATATATATATATATATATATATATATATATATATATATATATATATATATATATATATATATATATATTCATTATTTATTTACTGGTTTTTTGTTTTGTTTTGTTTGTTTAATGCTTATTGGTGATTTTTTTCTCTTCTTTTTTCCTTAATATGGCCGTTGGTGTCTTTTCTACCTAATTCGTTTCGTCTCATTTTTTCTTTTTTTTTTTTTTTCTGTTGGTGTCTTTTCTATCTTGACTTGTTTACTGGGGTCCTGTCTACCTTTATTTGTCTACCTTTGCTCTCTCTACTTTCATATTGTCTGCTAGTGTGTTGTCTACCTTAATTTGTCTACTGGTTTTCTTTCTACCTCCTTTTATCTTCGAGTGTCTTATCTACCCCATTTATCTGCCTGTATTTTGTCTACCTTTAGTGTGGCCTATCTACTTCAGTCCGTTTATCAGTACCTCAATTTCTCTACTAGTGTCATGTCTACCTCCATATGTCTACTAGCGTCCTTTCAACCTAAAATCACCTACTAGTGTCAAATCTACATGAATATTCCTTCTAGTATCCTATCTTCTCTATCTACCTTCTTTCACCTTATCTCCCCATCTGTATCTCCTAGTGCCCCACCTACCTTATCTACTACTATCTTATCTACCACAAATCCATCTACCGATATACCTACCTCAATCTACAAGCACTATCTACAAACGCCTTGTCGAAACTATAAACAAAAGCCTTAATAAAAGACAAAGAAAAAAAAAAAGACGGAGGGATACTAACTATAACTATAAACAAAATATAAAAATATAAAAATATGAAAATATAAACAAAATATAAAAAAACTATAAACAAAAGCCTTAATAAAGGACAAAGAAAAAAAAGACGGATACTAACTATAACTATAAACAAAATATAAAAATATAAAAATATAAAAAATATAAACAAAATATAAAAAAACTATAAACAAAAGCCTTAATAAAAGACAAGAAAAAAAAACAAAAGACGGTGATTTTCTTATACAAACAAGAGCCAATAAGTGGCAGTGAATTCTTGCCTTGAAATATAAGAAAGGAATCGAACGCAAACACCGGCAGAAAAACCAGTACGATTGGCTCCTTGTTTTAGTTTGTCTCGGTTTATCCATTAAAAGAGAGGAAAAAATTGATGATACTAGGAATCATGTTATTGATGATAATGATGGTAATAATAATGATAACAATGATAATCATACTACTGCTAATAGTAGCAATATTACTGTTAATAAAATTGTTGATGATGATATTACTATTACAATATTAATGATAACAAAACAACAACACAGATGATAATAACAATAATAACGGGTAAATGTAATAACCATGAAAATAAAGAGAACTAACAAATAGATAAGATACATTAATCGGTAAATAGAAAAATAAAAAGTCATTAAATATAATGGATAAATATCCAAAATTGTGAGATAAAAATGATATGCAAAATCGATGAAATATAAAGCTAAATAAATAAAAAGAAAATAACAAAGAAAGAAAAAAGTTATCTTTTCTCCAATTGAATTATCTTATTGGAATCTAATCGAGAAGAAAAGGAATATAAGTAATAAATAAAAGATACAAACAAACTTCAAAACATCTTTAATAGATTCCATACCGTGCTTTACAAAACACATTATATAATCCCATTCTACAACAGAATTCACAGCAAATGAAGATTATAAAGACTAGATTAACGATGAAAGATAAATGCTCTAAAACTCAGTATTTACAAATAATTGTCATTACACAGACATTTTTTTCTATATATATATTTGACATGCCTATTTTAGAGAAGGTAAAAATGCATTCCACTTAATTGCAATTAAGATGGACTTATTTGGCATGCCTATTTCAGAGAAGGAAAAAATGCATTCCATTTAACTGCATATATGGACATATGACATGCCTATTTCAGAGAAGAAGAAGAAGAAAAAAACATTCCATTTAACTGCACAGAGATGGACTTATCTGACATGCCTATTTCAGAAGAGGAAAAAAATACATTCCATTTAACTACATAAGAGATGGATTTACGAACCAAAAGCCCCCTCTCCTCTTTTTAAACCTTCTTATCAATAAAAGAATGGAACAGGTTGTTCAATGGAGTTGTAGGAACCATCGAAGTCCAAATGATAGTAAGGGCCCTTTACCACTTCCATTCGTGTAATTGGCGGTGTGGCAGGAACTGGGTTGTAGCCTGAAAGCAAAAAAAAAAAAAAAAAAAAAAAAAAAAAATAAATAAATAAATAAAATAATAATATAATAATAATAATAAAAAACCTATTACCGTAAATTCATTATTTTTTTCTATGCATATATTGTATTCGAAAAAAGTCTAAATCATTGTAGTTCATGTTAATAAATGAATATGATGTATAACCACAGTTCACTAAGATGACGAATGGCATCAACAACTACAATGATAATAATGATAATGAAAAGGAAAATGATGAATATGACAATGATAATGATAATAACAAATGGTTATAACAATAGTTTCAACAATAATGACAATAATTACGACGAAGGAGAAGAAAAAGAAAGGAGCAGAATAAGAAAGGAGACAACAAAAAAGAAGATAAAGAAGACGATGGCAGGAGAGGAAGCAAGAAGCAGAACAAGGAAGATGACGAAAGGAGAAGAAACAAGAACAAAAAAAGAAAAAACAAATAAGAAACAAGAAAAAAAATCAAACAAACCGCTTTAACCCACCTCGGATTTTTTCCATTTCCTCGTTAAATATTTCCCGGTTTGCGACGTCGATTCCCCGACCTGCCACAGCACTCTGGCGATCCGGAGCTTCGAAGGCTTCAGAAGCATGAGGATTCACGACGGCGTTAACGTGAATCAGTCCATTGGTAAGTTGAGGTTCACTATTTTCCGTTTCGAAGCCGTCGGCAGATTGGGGTCGAAACGGGATGCTGTCAAAGATCTGGGGTCCTCCAAATACGGGCGGGGAATCTTGCATTTTTTGGAGAACGAAGGGGTTGATTGGAGGTGCGAAGGTGTCGAGGATTAGGGGGGATTGGTTGTTGGTCATGAAGGGATTAGGTGATTGGTTGGTCATGAGAGGACTTGGTGATTGGAAGTCCGTCATGAAAGGAGCCGGTGACTGGTTCATATTGATCATGAGAGGACTTGGTGATTCGTTGAGGATTAGGAGATGTTCATGAAGGATTAGGTGAACATGAAAGGTTAGGATTGCTGTTCATCATGAAGGGATATGGTGATTGGTTATTGATCATGAAAGGACTTGGTGATTGGCTGTTCATCATGAACGGGTTAATGACAGTTGGAGGTAAATGATTATCATTATTCACGAAGGGATTAAAGGGGATTACCTGACTATTGAAATCGAAAGGGTTAATGGGAGGAACCTGGCTGTTGATATCGAAAGGGTTACTGGGGATTACCTGGCTGTTGGTATCGAAAGGGTGAAAGGTGAACGAGGTAACGAGAGGTGACCTTGGGGCATTGTGGGTCTTTTGAAGTTCAAGGTCAAGAAGGAGCAGCTGTTCCGACGGCTTGATTTCTTCTCCAGTTTGGGTTGCGTGACCATTCTGAACTGCGGAGTGAGGGACATTTGGAACAGCGAAATTCTGAACAGCTAGACCATCAAAATCGGGGACATTTGGATAGGCTGGACCATTAAAATCGAGGGCATTTGGAAAGTTAATAACAGCTGGACCATAAAATCGGGACATTCGGAACAGCAAAGTTTGCTTGACCAGTGAAATCAGGGACATTTGGAACAGCGAAGTTAGGAACAGCCGGACCATTAAAATCGGGGACATTCGGAACACTACCATTAATAACAGCTGGACCATTAAAATCGGGGACATTCGGAACAGCTGGACCATTAAAATCGGGGACAGTTGGAACTGCGAAATTAGGAACAGTTGGACCACTAAAGAAGGGGACGTTTGGGATAGTCGGACCAGTAAAATCTGGGACATTTGGAACAGCGAAATTAGGAACAGCTGGACCATTAAAATCTGGGACATTTGGAACGGCGAAATTTGGAACAGCTGGACCATTAAAATCGGGAACATTTGGAACAGCGAAATTAGGAACAGCTGGACCATTAAAATCGGGGACATAGGGAATGGCGGCGTTGGATACAGGAATTTCAGGAACATTTGGAATCTCGAAGTTTGGAACGAAGAAGGCAGAAGGATTTAGAACATTAAAATCAGGAACATTTGGAACCAAGAACTCAGGAATATTCATTCTGTTGATTCCAGGAGTATTGCCAAATGGGAATCCAGATTCTTTCGGAAGTGTGAATGAACATTCTGAACATTTGGAGGCGAGAGTCCAAAAGCACTTGCATGGACAACTGGGACACTCGGGAATCCGGGGAAATTCCAAAATGGGAATTCACGTACATATGATGGCACTGTTTGAGGGAATTCTTGACTGTTAAGAGCAGGGAATCTCTGCACGGCATCAAACTGGAATTCGCGGGTATTTGGAACCGGGAATCCTGGAATATTGTTCAATGGCAACTCCTTTGGGGTAAGATGCTCTGGAATTCCAACGAGGAAATTGGGAATGATGGGGGAAGGTGGAGAGGCAGGAACCGGGAATTCTGGAATATACGGAAATGGGAATCGTGTTCTTGAACCCCGGGATTCCATGTATTCCAAGGCATAAGGAATTGGAAAGTTATTAAAGTTGTGGTTGGGAAAATCTGGAATGGTTTCAGGAATCCTGGAATACTGAGGGGCTTCAAACATAAACGGGTTAGGAACATTTTCAGAATTAACCTGAATTGCGTTTTCATTACTATATGTATTCTGTGATTCTGGACTGACTTCATCCGGGACTTCTCTCTCCTGAAGATCCGAAGATAGGAAATTCGTGTCAGGAAGTCCAACGAATTCGTTAAAACCGTTGACTGGCGGATATTCAAACTCGTTGTGGGGCGGATAACCTAAATCTTTCACCGGCGAAATTCCAAAATCACTTGTTCTTTGGTAACCTTGCCAACGACGCGCCAGGTTAGGGAATAACAACGGCGCTTTGAAGCCGCTGAAGGTAGGAGGGTGAGAGACATCTTGCGGGAAGGCGGCGCACCACGTAGTTGCTAATGTCGCCGCTAGGAGGCAGTGTAGTAGCTTCTGTTAAAAAAAGGGAAACAATATATAATAATAATGCTGTAATAACGGCAAAAAAATATTTAAAAAGTAATGTCGCTGATGCTATAGTAATGAAAATTGTAATAATAAATAAAGTATGGTAATGATAGGAAATCAAACTGGTAGTGAAATCATTACCGGGAAATATGTTTTCATTAGCCTATTATCCCCGAAGTCCATTTCTTTCGTGCAGAAAAACTGGGAATATTAAATTAAACTCCTTATCACCGCGTCAAACAAGCGCAGCAGTAACAATAATAGCAAAAATAATAATGATCAATTAATAACATCAACGACAATGATAATACTGATAATAATCACAAAATTCAATGATGAAGATCGTGATCGAGGTGATAACATAACAATAACTACAAAAACAATATTCTATCAAATTCACATTTTAGGGGGGGGGGGGGCATTAAATCATAAAATCATCCATCCACGAAAAAGTCGAAACAATTTTTCACCATAAATTTTGTTAAGTATTTTTTTCCATCTTATGCAGTTTAAGGATAAGAGCATAACTCTTTGGACAATCATTTAACACTAAGCACTGCAGCCTCTTCATAAAAACAAAGGTATCATAAAAAGTGGTTTGACTGGTGTTGCTACTGTTGCGGGTGGTATTTTGAACTTTTTTGCTGTAAGTTCTGATGATAACAGTGCTTTATTAACGACTGTGTAGATAATGATAGAATTTTTACTTGTATTCGTAAGCGTTATGAGGTTAAATTGGTGACTAAGCAATGATGTAAAATGTGGTGCAGTCTTAATGATGTGTTCAGAGATTGCTAATACAATTTCGTATGTTTGATATGAATTATGATTTTTGATAAGAAAATACTGTAATGAGAGTTTAAAAGTCAAGTAATAACTAAAACACTTACCATAATTGGTTTTGGCTGATGAAAGGAAAAGTGGAAAAGCGACTCCGATAAAAAATCTCTCGCGCTGCCAATTGCTTCGTACTTTCTCTTTGTTTTGCTTTTCTCAATCCCTTTTTATCTTGTCTCTCTGGCGGACACTTTGTTTTCTCCGACGATCTCACAACAGCTGCCGAACTGCCTG